TTATTTATTTATTTATTTTTACGTGTTATTTATTTATTTATTTGAGGCTGAATTTGAACTCAGTTCCTCCTGAATCCAGGGCAGATGCTCTATCCACTGTGCCACCTAGCTGTCCCCTACATGTTACTTTCAAAGCCGCCCTGCTTTTCTATATTCCTGCTGAATTTCCTTTTTTCCCTTCTGTAAAATTTTAGAAAATGTATAAATGCCTCTTCCCTCCATTTTGTGGTATTAATATTGCTAAAGCGCCCTCTCTCACCCCAATTAAAAACTGGGGGGAAAATCAAACAGTAGTAAGTAAGCATAGTCAAACAAAACAAATCCTCACGACAGCCATGTCCAAAAAATGTTTTTTGGTACCTTGAGTTCATTATCATTCTGTCACGAGACGGGTAACATGGTCTATCATATGTCCTTTGGAGACATGTCTGGTCATTGCATTGATTAGAGCTCCGTCTTTCAAAATTGTTGTTATTCTATAAATTGCCCTCCTGGTTCTAATCATTTCACTCTGCATCAGTTCATATAAGTCTTCCCAGCTTTTTCTGAAACTATCCAGTTCTTAGAACAGTGCCTGGCATATAGTCTTCAAGCAATAAACATTTATTAAACACCTACTATGTGTCATGCACTATGCTAAATGCTGGTGATACAAAGAAACATATGCATACTTGTTACAAGGTGGGGTGGGGGAAAAGTGTGCCTCTGGCGTTAAGAAACATATTTTGTAATTACTGTTCTTGCTATTCCTCTTGAGTAAAGAACAGCAGTCTACTGGCTAATTGTTAAGGAAGCATATTGATGGGGAGCTTATGAGCCAGCATTAGGAGGATGACCACCACATTGTGATGGTACCCCTAGAACTCTGAAAGTATTAGTAGTCCCTGGAGTTCCACTTCCCGGAACCAGTATGAGTTGGGTAAATGAGCTCAGAGAGGACATTACATTATTAGGGAAATCACATATTTAAGTAGAATGCAAGCATACATTAAGAGTATACCAAGTCACATTGGAAAATTCCTGCTGATGCTGAACTTGTGAAAAAAGCAAAAATACTGGCAAACTGGAAGGAGAAATCCAATGTTATTATTTGGAAGCTAGATAGCTAATAAGAAATCACATGCATGCTAGAATACATTGGAAAAGAATTTTTACTTTTTGAAATGCTCTAAATAGCTAGATGAATCAATTTTGTGCTAAGGAAGAGAAATATCAGTACCTGAAAATGAGGTACTGAAGTAACACGTAGTTATAGCTATACTTTGCACCAGAAGGGTCCTTTTCAAGCTGGGTTGATAATAGGCAAAAGATTTTAATCCTGGATAGAAAAACCCAACATAGTTATTGGGAAGGCAAATAGCTATTAAGAAATCATGTTCATATGTTAGATAGAAAACATTTGCAAAAGAACCTCTAAATGGTACCAGTTTATTTTATTTTGTTCTAACTTGCTCGATAGATCTATTTCTACTTAAAACAATGAAATTTTAGAACTTATAAACAACATAATTAAGAAGAATACAATTAGACCTTGGCAAACCACATAAAGTGGAAATGCTCCAGAACAATGGAACCTGGTGAATCCAACTGTTCACAAATGGAGTCATTGGCCTGTATTGTTAGGAACATATTTGCCACATAAACACATGACAAAAGCATTCAAAGTCCCATACCAAAATGAGATGAGCCAAAACAAATGTGGACTTTCCATTCAAGGAAACAAAAAAAAAAAAGGAAAAGGAAAGCACATTTTTTTTTTTTTGGCCAGAGATCAATAGTCTGATCCATGACTGTCAATTCAGAATTCCAGAGATTTCTCCAAATAAAACTCTCCTCCTATAATGCTCTGGTTCATGGAGTCCTCAGACTTCAGTTGTCATGGTGGAGAGAAGAGGAAAGATAAGCCCCCAGAAAGGATTCCATAAAGGCTAACCCAGGATTTTGGTGCTGAGTGGAGCTCTAGGGCTAATTTTTTCCAACCTCTTGCCTGATGCAAGAATCTCCTTTCCTGGGGATTGTTAAAGGTGGGCCTGACTCAGGCTCCTACTTCATTATTTCACATTTGATGTTGGGACAAAATGAGGCACTCGTTATAGGTCATTCAACAGTTAGTAAAAAGAGGTTTATTTAGCCTTATCGTAGAAAGCATATGCAACAAGGACAGTAGCACTTATAAGTAGAAGGTCCCCTTTGTCTTCTTAAGGAAATGTGTCTGGTCAGCAGAGCAGAGTGTGGTGACCTGTGTAACTTCAAGATGAGATTGCCATGTATGAAGGGCTTTGACTCTACATGAATGGGACTTAAATGACCAGAAAGTCATGTTAATGCTTCCAAAGGCTCCTAGGAAGCTGCATCAAGGGTGATGCAGTTCTGGGCCAATTAAATATGGGGGATAGCTCAAATTAGTCTAATCCATGTTGGGGGGAGGGGTTAGTAGGGGAAGAATCCTGGTAGATCTTGGTCCAATCACAAGGATCACGTCTTTCATCCAGTTTTTCATTGAACCTTCCAGTGATGGAAATGCTCATTTTATTTGGTATTTGTTAAGTTCAGAATAAATAAAATAAAATTTAAAGAGAAAATAAAACAGCTAATATAACATTTTCTGTTGGAGAGTGATAAGAATATCATAGAAAGAGAGGTAGGATATAGTTTTAGTCTTTTAGGATATAGGATACATGACCTTCCTGATACAGGATATAGTCTTTCAGTTTCCACATTGTCTAAATAAGTTATTTATTTAGCCATTTACTGATAACTCTTTACATGCTTGCTTGGTGGAAATGTTGAGTAAGTATTGTGTTCTCTGTGGTTAGCAAAGAATCATTGACCTTCTGTTCCCTCAGATCCACCTCTCTCTCTCATGAGCAGTCTCAACTCATTGCCAAAATGTACATTGACTTGTGGATCTAACCAATCACCATTTAGCCATGAGCCACCACCCATCTGTGAAACACTCCCTCTCTTGTAACCTTGTATTATGGTGGAATGTCAGTATTTACAATAACGTGACTGGCATACCTATCAAACATATTTAGATATTGTACGTAAAATTTATTCTCATCCTAGAACTGATAAATAAAAATAAAATAATATAATGCTCAGTAACAATGCATGATAAATCAACGTCTACCAGGGGCTAAAAGCCTTCTGCAATAATCCCTGCAGACGATAGGATTGAACAAGGTGTTCCAGGAAATACACGGTTGGAATTTGTTTAATTCCCTGATGCTGTTCTTTACCAAGTGAGCAAGGACTGCTGCTCACTTGAGTCTTAATTCACTAGATAAAGAGGCAGAAATTCTAGAGGTATTTTTGATGCTGGTACTCATGCACAGGGCATGGATGGACTTAGGATCCAAGCAGACACGGTAGAAGACTGAAATTTCCATGGTAGGTGATGATGGTAGACTTGACTATCTCATCGTGATCTCCGACTCATTCAACCAAAGCCAGTCCACAAGAAAGCAATATGATGTTGTTGTTCCGTTGTTTCAGTCATATCGGACTATTTGTGACCCCATTTTGGGGTTTCCTTGGGAAAGATACTGGAGTGGGTTGCCATTTCCTTCTCCAGCTCATTTTACAGATGAGGAAACTGAGGCAAACAGGGTTCAGTGACTTGCCCAGGGTCACACAGCTGGTATGCACCTGAGGCCATATTTGAACTTACCTTCTCCTAACTCCAGGGCTAGTACCTGATCTCCTGCACCAAAGCAAGGTTAGTGGACTTCTAAGGTCACCCCAGGAAGAATGGTGCTACCACTGTTATGACATCCCTCCCCCTCTGACATTCAGCACAAGTACCTCTCTACCACACATATGTCACTTCCGTTCTTGCTCCCCAGCCCAAAGTCTCATTGCTCTGAGCATCTGGTAAAAGAGCACTTAGAGTAAGGGGATATTACATTCACATACTGGTCTGAGAAGGCACTCACGGTCCCTCCTAATCCATCTATCACTTTCCTCTGTCCTTCCACTCTGACGTATAAGCCAAGTGCACTGGGCAAAGCCAAGAAAAGTGAGGATGGAAAAGCTTCCACATACTTCTTTTCTAAATATCAGTAATAATAATAGCTACCATTTGTGTAGTGCTTACTATGTAACAGGCACTATGCTAAGGGCTTTACAATTATCTCATTCAATCCTCACAACAACCTGGGTACTATTATTATCCCCATTTTACAAATGAGGTTACTAAGGCAAACAGGTTAAGTGACTTCCTCAGGTCACATGGCTAGTATCTGAAGCTGGATTTGAACTCAGGCCTCCCCAACTCTAGGCCCAGTGCTCTATCATCTTCACCACATAACTGCTTTAAATAAGTTTGCAGGGCAATTGGACAGGCTAGGGTGCTCATTAGGGGTAAAGAAACCCCAGGAACGATGGCCCTGCCCTTTCTCAATTGAATTTTCCAGGAAGGCATGGCCAAGGTTAGTAGTATGGGGCTCAGCTACCACACTTTCCAGGCATAAAATCCCCTACAGAAAGCAGCAGGGGCTGGCCATAAGTCTAGGCTCAACTCTTCTTGAAACAGGAGAAGAGATTCTCAGTCTCAGGCAGTATAGAATATAGTTGCTCTGAAATCCTGGCAGACCCCTAAAGAAGCAGAGGAATGTGCAAACTGTACTCTTTGCACCCATTCTCTCCTATGGACCCCTGAAAATCACTGACTACATTCTAGAAATAAGGTAAAATTCAATAATTCTCACTGATTGATGGGTTTTAGAAAGATGTTTGGGAGATGGAGGTATAGAACATGAGCTGGACCACCTTTTGGTGGTCTTATCCTGTGATTATAATTAGTGAAGGCAGAAAAAGAGAGGTGAAAATATCTGGATTTTATAGGGAGATATAGAAAGGTGGAAAATTGGGCAGAGGAGAAAAGAGAGGAATGGCACAGGTATGGCTCTGTGTTCTCTCTCCACAGGCAGCTGCCAAAGAAACCTGCAATTGCATCATTCGTTCTATTTACCCAAAGTTGTATTTTGTACTAAAGTTCTAAAAGGCACCATAGAGAACCGAGGGGAGAGAAGGTGTGAAAGAGGACGGTTAACCACATCCACATCATCCACAGCAGTCCCAGAGGAAACTGCAAGAAGATGGGGGACAATATTTGGGGCCTGAGTGCCAGCAATACTTCTTCTTCTCTCAACTTCACTCTACCACCCAATTTTGGCAAGCGTCCCACTGACTTGGCTCTCAGTATCATCTTGGTATTCATGCTCTTCATTGTCATGATCTCCCTAGGGTGTACTTTGGAGTTCAGCAAGATGAAAGCTCACTTCTGGAAGCCCAAAGGGATTGCCATTGCTTTGGTCTCTCAGTATGGGGTGATGCCACTCACAGCCTTTGCTCTGGGCAAGATCTTCCGGTTGAACAATATTGAGGCCCTAGCCATATTGGTATGTGGCTGCTCCCCAGGTGGGACCCTATCCAACATCTTCAGTTTGGCGTTAAAGGGAGACATGAATCTCAGGTAAGATAGAGGTAGCATAGAATGAGAACAGAGCAGCCTGGTATTGAAAAGACCCCCAGCAATGACATCACGATTCAGTGAAAACAAAAAGATTAAAGTTGGGTTAAAATGTGCTGTGGAAAGCTGGGGAGGTCCATCTGGTCAAGGTGTGTTACTGGAGTGGGAAGGGTATCAAGTGCTCGGTATCAACTGTTAACCCTAGGTAGGAATTAAAAGATGTCCTTTGGCTTAAACACTAAGATGATGGGAAAAGGTTAGTCTGGGAATACCCGTCTCTGACACCTGAGGTAGCTCTAGTGAAGGTCCCAAGACTGTCCTGAGAGGATGAAGATTTGACTCATAGTCAAATTGGGAAATCCATGACTATCATACCAGCTCTAGAGTTCTTTCCTAGATCCAGAGATTTAAGAGACAAACTGGTTCTAGCTTCTTTTCAACCCCATCAGCTTCAACCAGTCCAGGGAAATCATGAAAGATTCTTTTTAATAGAATCTCAAATTACCCAGAGACAAATACCCAATTCTTCTCCTCCTCCACCACCACCACCACCATCACCCCCTCAAATATGTGTGTGTGTGTGTGTGTGTGTGTGTGTGTGTGTGTGTGTGTGCATGTGTGCATGGGTGCCCAAAGCAATTCAGTCATCGGAGATCTTTTGAATTAGTCTGTCCAAAAATTAGGATGCTGCAGGAGCAACTGTAAACACACAATTCAGGGAGGTTCAGCAGGGTTAAGGTTCCTCAGTTTTTCCTGTAGGGCTAGTGAGTTCCAGTAATCTAGTCCTGTTGCTCTCTGTTTCATTCCTGAGGGTATTCTGGTTAAGTACTAAATGGTCTTTATTGTTTATTTATTTTAGTTTTCAACATTCACTCCCACAAGATTTTGAATTCTAGATTTTCTCCCCATGTCACCCCTCCCCCCACCCCAAGACAGCATGCAGTCTGAATACCCCTTCCCCTAATCTGCCCTACCTTCTATTATTCCCTTTCTCTTATCCTCTTCCCCTTCTATTTTCCTGTAGGGCAGGATAGATTTCCATACCGCATTATCTGTATATCTTATTTCCCAGTTGCACATAAAAACAATTTTTAACATTTGTTTTTAAAGCTTTGGTTTCCAAAATCTCTCCCTTCCTCCCTCTCCACCCATCCTCATTGAGATGGCAAATAACTCAATACAAGTTATACATGTATAGTCATGCAAAATGCTTCCATAGTAGTCATGTTGTGAAAAACAAAGTATATTTCCCTTCATCCTATCCCATCCCCCTTTTATTCTATTTTTTCTTTTGACCCTCTCCCTCCTCAGAAGTATTTGTTTTTGATTACCCTTTCCCCCAATCTGCCCTCTCTTCTATCATCCTTCCCTCTTATCCCTTTCCCCCATATTTTCCTGTAGAGTAAGGTAGATTTCCATACTCAATTGAGTGTGTATGTTATTCCCTTCTTAAGCCAAATCTGATGAGAATAAGTTCACTCATTCCCTCTCACCTTCCCCGTCCACTGTAAAAGCTTTTTCTTGTCTGTTTTATTTGAGATAATTTACTCCATTCTACCTTTCCCTTTCTCCTTCTCCCAGTATAATCCTCTCTCACCCCTTAATTTTATTTTTTAGATATCATCCCTTCATATTCAACTCACCTTGTGCCCCCGATCCATCTGTCTATCTCTCTCTCTCTCTCTCTCTCTCTCTCTCTCTCTCTCTCTCTCTCTATATATATATATATATATATATATATATATATATATATATATATATATATACATATATACACACACACACACACACACACACACACACACACATATTTTCCCTCCAACTATCCTAATACTGACAAAGGTCTCATGAGTTACAAATATTATCTTTCCATGTAGTAATGTAAACAGTTTAAGCTTAATAAGTCCCTTATGATTTCTCTTTCCTGTTTACTTCTTCATGGTCCTCTTGAGTCTTGTATTTGAAAGTCAAATTTTCTATTCAGTTCTGATCTTTTCATCAAGAATGTTTGAAAGTCCCCTATTTCACTGAATGTCTATTTTTTTCCCTGAAGGATTATACTCAGTTTTGCTGGGTAGGTGATTCTTGGCTGTAAACCCATCTCCTTTGCCCTCTGGAATATCATATTCCAAGCCCTCCAATCCATTAATGTAGAAGCTGCTAAATCCTGTGTTATCGTGATTGTGTTTCCACAACACTTGAATTGTTTCTTTCTGGCTGCTTGCAATATTTTCTCCTTCACCTGGGAACTCTGGAATTTGGCTACAATATTCCTAGGAGTTTTCCTTTGGGGATCTCTTTCAGGACGTGATCAGTGGATTCTTTCAATTTCTATTTTGCCCTCTGGTTCTAGAATATCTGGGCAGTTTTCCTTGATAATTTCTCGAAAGATGATGTCTAGGCTCTTTTTTTGATCATAGTTGTCAAGGTAGTCCAATAATTTTTAAATTCTCTCTCTTGGATCTATTTTCCAGGTCCATTGTTTTTCCAATGAGGTATTTCATATTGTCTTCTATTTTTTCATTCTTTTGGTTTTGATTTACAATGTCTTGATTTCTTATAAAGTCATTAGCTTCCATTTACTCCATTCTAATTTTTAAGGAAGCACTTTCTTTAGTAAGCTTTTGGACTTCCTTTTCCATTTGGCCAATTCTGCTTTTTAGGGCATTCTTCTCCTCATTGGATTTTTGGACTCTTTTGCCATTTGGGTTAGTCTATTTTTTAAGGTGTTATTTTCTTCAGTATTTTTTGTGTCTCCACTGACTCTTTTTTCATTAGTTTCTTGCGTCATTCTCATTTCTCTTCCCAATTTTTCTTCTACCTCTCTTACTTGCCTCTCAAAATCCTTTTTGAGTTCTTCCATGGCCTGGAACTGATTCATATTTTTCCTGGAGGTTTTGGATATAGGAGCTTTGACTTTATTGCCTTCTTCTGATTGTACATTTTGATCTTTTGTCACCAAAGCAAGATCCTATGGTCTGACTTTTTTGTGCTGTTGCTCATGTTCCCAGCCAACTATTTGACTTTTAAACTCTTTGTTAAGGTAGGGGTCTGCTTCCAGTGTGGAGAATGCACTGTCCCAAGCTTTGGAGGTTTTGTGCAGCTGTTTTCAGAGATACTTCTATGGACCTGTAAATTTTTAGTTTCTTCCAAGGTGGTAGGATCAAAGGCAAGGTGTTTACTCCTTTCCTGGCCTGGGCTGTGGTCTATGAGTGACCACAAGCACTCTTTTCTGCCCTGTAACTGTGAGGATGATTCCCTCTCCACCATCACCACAAGCTCCACCACACCAGCACTCCTCCTCACCCCAGGACCACCACCCAGGACTATGACCCAGATCCAAGCATGGGCAAAGCAAGAGAATCCCTGCTCAGTGCCAGCAAAGAGATCCCTGCAATCCCTCTCTGGTCAGCCACTCGATCTCCCCCTCAGTCTGTGGGCTGAGAGCTCTGGAAGCAGACCCCACCCAGGTGCTGCACTGGGACAGGGGCCAGACCATGCTCTTCTCTCACCAAGGTCTAACAGACCTTTCCTACTGACCTTCTAAGTTGTCTTTGGTGTTTGTGGCTTGAGGAAATCTGGAAACCACCACAGCTTCCCATGATTCAATCCCCTGAGGACTGCTCTAGGTTCACTAAGGCCTGATCTTTGCCTGTGCGCCCATGCTGTACTGTGCTCCTCTCCCAGCCTGTCGCAATAGACCTTTCCAATCAACCATCCAGGTTGTCTTGGGCTGGAAATTTATTTCATTCTGTCTTTTTGTGTGTTCTGCTGCTCTAGAATTTGTTTAGAGCCATTTTTTACAGGTATTTGGAGGAGTTTGAGGGAGAGCTCAAGCAAGTCACTGCTTTTACTACTCCATCTTGACTCCACCCTCCCTAAATAGTCTTACTTTTTCTGTATCCCTCACAGTTCCTAGCAAAGTGCTCAATACTTTTTTGGGTTCTTGGGTTCTTGGTCAATTCAGCATCAGATCATCATAACTGGATTCATCTCTCCGCTGTTTTCAAAGATCTCCAGTGAAAAAATTCTATTCTATACTAATAATTAATAGCCTATTCTGCTCCTGATCAGATCTAAGCCAAATCTCCTATAATTAACTAATTTTCTCTTGTTCCAGGAGGTGTTATCCAATGGTAGGTCCAGCGGTGGAATTAGTAGTTAGACCTTACTTCCTGAGTTGAGTCTCATTAAAAAAAAACAAAAACAAATTTTAGAAAAAACTAAACTAAAGGCCCAAGCTGATCTTAAACTAATAAAAGAAACCTGAGAACTTGTGTCTTAAGGGATTGAATAAGGAGAAGCTCAAAGCTCTCTGCTTATAGCAAAAAACCCTCTCTGAGGCAAAGGAGAAGAAGATAAGTGACTTACACACCTTCCCAAGTGAACCCTTTCAAAGTTTTAACAACCATCCTCCAGTCAGAAGTTCTTGGCTTTATCTTATCTCAAATCTTCCTGGTTCCTCCTCAGCTTTTTCTTCTGGTCTCAGTGAACACAATCTTATAGAAAACAAAGCTTGTTTATATATATATCTCAATAGGGTCATGCAACAAAACTTTTATCTTCAGGGCAAAAGGCAGCACAGTGAATAGAATGCTGAAGCTGGATTTAGGAAGACTTGAGTTTGAATCTAGCCTCTTTGAAAAGGAAGAACAAACAACAGCGTGTATACATGCACACTATGCGTATGCATGTGTATATACTAGGAGCACTTCACCTGATCTCTGTCAAGGGGAGGGTAACACTTAGCTTGCTTTGGCCAGCTTAGCTTCCTCCCACCAAACATCAGTTAAATGAAAACCATCTTGAGTAGCTAGTAAACTTCCTTATCAAAGTAATCATTAAGCAGAAATCAAAGAAGTTATAAAGGTTAGAACAGACAAATGAATACACAAGAGTAAATTAACTCAGATACTGGAATGGTTTGCCATTTCCTTCTCCAGCTCATTTTACAGATGAAGAAACTGAGGCAAAGAAGGCTAAGTGACTTGCCCAGGTCATACAGCTAGTAAGTATCTGAGGCCAGATTTGAGCTCAAGTCTTCATGACTCCAGGCCTGGTGTTCTATACACAGTGCCATCTAAATACCCCTATTTATTCTCTATGTACTTTTAAAAAAAAATAACATTTTATTTTTCCCCCCAATTACATGGGTTTTTTTGTTTTTTGTTTTTTAGGCAATTGGGGTTAAGTGACTTGCCCAGGGTCACACAGCTAGTAAGTGTCAAGTGTTTGGTCTGAGGCTAGATTTGAACTCAGGTCCTCCTGACTTCAGGGCCAGTGCTCTATCCACTGCTCCACCTAGCTGCCCCTTGCTCATCATTTCTTATATCACAATAGTATTCCATTACATTCATATAACACAACTTGTTCAGCCATTCCCCAATTGGTGGGCATCCTCTCAATTTCCAATTCTTTGCCACCATAGAAAGAGCTGCTATAAATATTTTTATATATGTGGGTCTTTTCCCCATTTTTATGATCCCTTTGGGATACAGCCCTAGAAGTGCTATTGCTGGATCAAAGGGTATGGACATTTTTAGAGCCCTTTGGACATAGTTCCAAATTGCTCTCCAAAATGATTGGATCATTTCACATCTCCACCAACAATGCATTAGTGTTCCAACTTTTCCATATCTTCTCCAACATTCATCATTTTCCTGTTTTGTCATGTTGGCCAATCTGATGGGTGTGATGTGGTACCTCAGAGTCATTCTGATTTGCATTTCTCTAATCAATAGTGATTTAGAGCATTTTATCATATGACTATAGGTAGTTTTAATTTCTTCATCTGAAAACTACCTGTTCATATCGTTTGACTATTTATCAACTGGATAATGATTTGTATTTTTGTAAATTTGACTTAGATATATTTGAGAAATGAGGCCTTTATCAGAGATATTTTCTATCAATTTTCCCCCAGTTTTCTGCTTTCTTTTTAATTTTATTGCATTGGTTTTGTTTGTGCAAAAACTTTAATTTTATGTAATCAAAATTATCTATTTTACATTTTATAATGCTCTCTATATTTTGTTTGGTCCGTATCCACAGATCTGATAGATAAAACTATTCCGTGCTCTCCTAATTTGCTCTCCTAAGGTATTTTTTTCTATTCTTATTCCATTTTCTCCAGAGCTCTATCACAGCTAACTTTTCCAGAATTTTATTCACCTCCTTAACTTCTTTCTTATTTATTTATTTTTTTAGATTTATCTAGGTCTGAGAGGGGAAAGTTTCAGTTTCTCCTTCAAAAATTTAGCTGCTACACCATTTGGTGTATATATACTTAGTATTGGTACTACTTCGTTTGTCTATGGTACCTTTCAGCAAGATATAGTTTCCTTCCTTATTTATTTTAATTAAATCTGTTTTTACTTTTGCTTTGTCTGAGGTCATATCACCCCTGATTTTTTTGCTTCAGCTGAAGCATAGTATGTTCTGTTCCAGACCCTTATCTTTACTCTGTGTCTCTGTGCTTCAAATGTGTTTCTTGTAAACAACATATTACATGCTGTAAACAACATAATCCATTTTGCTATCTGCTTCTGTTTTATGGGTGAGATCACTGCATTCACATTTTTAGTTATAATAACTTTGTATTTCCCTCCATTCTATTTTCTCCTTGTTTATTCCTCTCTCTCCCTTACCCTGACCCTGTCCCTCCTCACAAGTGTTTTACTCCTGATCATCACCTTCTCCTATCCGCCCTCTTTTCTATCAGTCCCCCACCCCCATCCCTTTTTCTTATCCTCATCACCCTTTACTTCCTTATAGAGTAAGATAGATTTCTGTATCCAACTGAGTGTGTATGTTATTTCCTCTTTGAGCCAATTCTGATGATAATAAGGTTTAAGCATTGCCTGCCACCACCCAACCCAACTTCCTCTCCATTATAATAGCTCTTTCTTGCCTCTTTTCTTTCTTTTTTCAAAATCAAGTTAATTAATTTATTTTTAGCTTTCAACATTCACTTCCACAAGATTTTGAGTTTGAAATTTTCTCCCTATCTCATCCCTTCCCCCACCCCAAAATGGCATGCATTCTGAATACACTTAATCTGCCCTCCTTTCTATCTCTCTCCACCCCCTTCTCTTATCCCCTCCCCTTCAATTTTCCTATAGGGCAGGATAGATTTCTATACTCCATTTCCTGTATATCTTATTTCCCAGTTGTTTCATGCCTCTTTTATGTGAGATAATTTACCCTCTTCAATCTCCCCCTTCCTTCTTCTCCCAGTGCAATCTTCTTTCTCGCCCCTTTATTTTTTTGAGAGGTTTCATCTCATCAAAGTCACCTTGTGTTCATACCCTCTGTCTACAAATACTCCTTCTAACTGCCCTTATAGCAATAAAGTTCTTAAGAGTTACAAATATTATCTTGCAATATAGAAATATAAAGTTTAACCTTATTGAATTTCTTATGTTTTCTCTTTCTTGTTTCTTTTTTATGTTTCCCTTGAGTCTTGTATTTGGAGATTAAAATTTTTTATTCAGCTCTGTTCTTTTAATTAGGAAAGCTTGAAAGTCCTTTATTTCATTAAATATCCATTTTTTCCCTGAAGGATTATATTCCATTTTTCTGGGTAGGTGATTCTCAGTTGTAATCCTAACTCTTTCGCCTCCTTGAATATCATATTCCAAGCCCTCTGATTCTTTAACATGGAAGCAACCAAATCCTGTGTAATCCATGTAGCACCATAATATTTGAATTGTTTCTTTTTGGATGCTTTGAAGCACTTTCTCCTTGATCTGGGAGCTCTGGAATTTGGATGAGTTTTCCAGAGGACAGAATAGAAATGCTCACAGTATGGTTTTGCTTTTGATCATACACCATTCCCAAAGAGTACTCCCAAAAGAGTGCAATAGATTTTGAACTGAAAGAGACTTTAGGGAACATCTTACGTATTTTACATATTAGAAAACCGAGGCCCAGAGATGTTAAGAAACTTATTCCAGATCACACAGGAGCAGAGATGGAATGCAAACCTGGATCTTCTGACTATTAAACTAGTGCTTTTTGCTAGTGCACAAAATGGCCCTGGTCACTTCCATAGGTTAGAAACCAGAGCCCTAACACTCTCCATGACACTAATGAACTGAACGTCCCTGGATCAAAAGATTCTCTAAATAACCTTTCTCTCTATAGCTGCTAAATATTTTTTTTCCATTTTTAAAATTAATTTATTTTGATTTATCAACAATCACTTCCATATGCTTTTGAGTCGAAAATTCTTCTCCCCCTTCCTCCCCCCATCCAAGACGGTGCACAATCTGATATAGGTTTTACATTTAAATACCCATTAAACATATTTTCACATTAGTGAAGTTGTAAGTACAAATGAAAACCATTAGGAGGAACCATCAGAAAGATGAACAAAACTCAACAGAAGGTAAAAATACATGATAGCGATTCGACTTCCATAGCTCTTTCTTTGGATGTGGACAGCATTTTCCATCCCTAGGCCTCTGGAGATGTCTTAGATCCTCACAATGCTGAGAATGGTTCAGTTTAACAATCTTAGTCATTGCATAATGTGGCTGTTATTGTGTACAAAGTCCTGTTGGTTCTGCTCACTTCACTCAGTATCAGACCATATAAGTCTTTCCAGGTTTTTCTGTTCATCATTTCTTATAGCACAATAGTATTCCATTACATTCATATACCACAACTTGCTCAGCCATTCCCCAATTGATGGCCATCCTCTCAGTTTCCAATTCTTTGCCACCACAAAAAGAGCTGCTATGAATATTTTTGTACATGTGGGTCCTTTCCCCATTTGTTTGATCTCTTTGGGATATAGTCCTAGAAGTGCTACTGCTGGATCAAAGGGTATACACATTTTTATAGCCCTTTGGGCATAGTTCCAAATTGTTCTCCAAAATGGTTGGATCATTTCACAACTCCACCAACAATGTATTAGTGTTCCAATTTTCCCACATCCTCTCCAACATTTATCATTTTCCTGTTTTGTCATGTTGGCCAATCTGATAGGTGTGATGTGGTACCTCAGAGTTGTTTTGATTTGCATTTCTCTAATCAATAACGATTTAGAGCATTTTTTCATATGACTATAGATGGCTTTAATTTCTTCATCTGAGAACTGTCTGTTCATATCCTTTGACCATTTATCAATTGGGGAATAGCTTGTGTTCTTATAAATTTGTCTTAATTCCCTATATATTTTAGAAATGAGGCCTTTATCAGAAAGACTGGTTGTAAAAATTCTTTCCCAATTTTCTGCCTTCCTTCTAATCTTAGTTGCATTGGCTTTGTTTGTGCAAAAACTTTTCAATTTAATGTAATCAAAATTATCCATTTTGCTTTTCATAATGTTCTCTATTTCCTGTTTGGTCATGAATTCTTCTGTTCTCCATAAATCTGACAGGTTCCTTGTTCTCCCAGTTTACTTATGGTATCAGCCTTTATATCTAAGTCATGAACCCATTTTGACTTTATTTTGGTATATGGTGTGAGATTTGGGTCTATGCCTAGTTTCTGCCATATTCTTTTCCAGTTTTCCCAGCAGTTTTTTTTCAAAGAGTGCTTATCCCAGAAGCTAGGGTCTTTGGGTTTATCAAATAATAGATTACTATTGTCATTGACTACTGTGTCTTGCACATTTAACCTATTCCACTGATCCACATCCCTATTCTTAGCCAGTACCAAGAAGTTTTGATGATTGCTGTATAGCTGGTAAATACTGCAGGGCTGAGGTGCTACCGGGATTGTCATAGATTGGAATGAGGAGGAAGTAATCTGACACAGCTGGTGTGGTCAGCCACGCCCCAGGTTCCAATTTCAGTTCTCTTCCATCTCCTTCTGTTCCAGCATTGTGATGACTACCTGCTCCACTTTCTTTGCCTTGGGCCTGATGCCGCTCCTGCTGTACATCTACTCCAAAGGAATCTATGAAGGGGATCTCAAGGACAAGGTGCCCTATGCGCAAATTGCCATCTCACTGGCTTTGATACTTATTCCTTGCACCATAGGAATCATCATCAATTCCAAGAGGCCACAGTATGGACGCTACATTGTTAGGGTAAGAATTCAGGAGGATCAGTGACCCTTGAGAAAATGTTTCTTCAGTCATTTTCAGTCATGTCCAACTCTTTGTGACCCCATTTGGAATTTTCTTGGCAAAGATGCTGGAGTGGTTTTCCATTTCCTTCTCCAGCTCATTTTAAAGATAAGGCAACTGAGGCAAACAGAGTTAAGCGACTCACCTAGGGTCATAGGTAGTAAGTGTCTGAAGACAGATTTGAACTCAGGAAGATGAATCTTTCTGACTCCAGGCTCAATATTCTATCTACTGCATCACCTGGCTGCCCTTGAAAACGTAGTGTTGGTAAATTCAAAGACCATTGAACTGGGAATCATGACATTAGCTAGCTGTTTGACTTTAAGCAAGTCATTTAACTTTTCTGTGTCTCAGTCTCCTCATCTGTCAAATATCTAATATTTGTTTGGGATAATAATACCTACACTATAGGTAGTGTGATAAAGTTTGCAATGTTGGACTTGGAGTCAAGAAAACCTAGTTTCAGATCCCATCTCTGACATTTACTAGCTGTGTGACTATGGACAAATCTCTTAACCTCTCTGAGCCTCAGTTTCCTTATTTGTAAAGTTCAATACCTACCTGATCTATTTCATATGGTTGTAATGAGGCAACATGGGTGTACATGCACCTATATCTACATGCTTGACTCCATCCTAGGTGATCTGGGCATTTATCAAGATCCCATTACACAAGTTTTAAAACACTATGTAAATTAATTTGTCATCTACTTCATTAGGCTGTAAGGGAAATGAATGCACAGCGAGAAGTTAACATGGAAGAAAAAATAATACTAATAATGTACTCTGTGATTTAGGATCAAGTCTGCTAGAAATGATTCTATTAATTTAACATTAATCTCTGTCCAAGACACTTCTAGCTTGGAGAAAGAGATTTCTAAAGTTGCCATAGTCTTCTTCCATGACATCTGACAGAATGTCTTAATCTTGAATTTCAAAAAAGAAGCTACTGTCCCCAGGTGCATCATGGCACCAGTTACTCAAGGTGAGTGTGCAATTTCAACTGACAGATGGGATTCAAAGCCAAATCTTCTAACTGAAAGCCCACAACTCTTTCTGCTATATAGTGTAGAGCCTGATTTTACTTGCAGCTGGCTCTTTTGCTATTAAGGAATACATGAATCAACTAATAAGACTGTGCCACATACCCCTCTACATGCTAGTAGATAGAACTCATAGAAAAAGTATAAAAAATTATCTGTGACTAGTTTCAAGGAACTTTGTTGAAGGGGACAAAAAACTAATGCAGGAACTTAGATTCTTGCAATCTAGCCACCGCTCAGATTCTTAAAATCTGGCCAATAGCTCACTGATGTTCAGAGTCCATAAGAGTCTGCCCAGTATGACAGATGTTCTAATAAACCTTGACTTTGGCTGAAAAAAATTTTTTTAAATTAAAAAAAACACAATCAAAACCTAATGCAGGTGAAAGACCTGCCAACAATTTAAGACAGCGGGTATTCAGTTATATGGTACAGATTATAACATTATAGACATTAGAGGAAAGAAAGACCAATGAGGGCTGGAATAGACAGCAAAGACTCCCAGGACATCAGCTGGACCTGGCAGAGGGGAGATAGGAGTATATTACAGGCAAGAGGACCATTTATTTATGGCACATGAAGCTTATCTTCATAAGCTTCTACATCTGGCTGCTGCCAGCTAGGCTGCTCTGTGGCCAAACTCAATCAACTAATCACCAACCATTTGTTAAATGTTAGTTATGTGTTGGGCACTGAGAATACAAAGACAGAAATACATACAGATATAAGTATGTTGAGAATCATGTTACAGAGTTTGCTAACAGAATGAGCAAGCTGAAGATACTTGTTAGAAGCATGCACAATTGATGATCTTTGAAAAATCATGAAGAGAGATGGATTTACCAATGATCGAGCAATGGATCAAAACTGCCAGAGATCAAATAGATCCTCAGTAGTATATACTTCTAGCATGTATGGGATGTATGCATAGAAGATGCTTAACTGATAGGTAGGAAAGAACTAATTACTCCCTCTTTTGGCTCCCACTCTTGTGTGAGTTACTACTCTTTCCCAGATCCTTCCTTTAAATATGACCTACTTTTTAGTAATTCCTTTAGCTTTACCCCTGGAGGGGTATGGTTTTCTCTTTCTAAAGTTGCATGGAAAGAACAAACGGGAAAAGGAGTCGCCTGAGGTAAAGGCTAACCAGCTTGATTTCACTGCATCTTCCCTCTCCCTGGAACCCCTGACTAATCCTGTTTGTAGGACAGTCTGGATTCACTTGTTCTTTCTCTGTTTAGGGAAAGTTAGAAAAGGAAGGGAGCCATTAGAGTTAATTGAATAAGGGAGAGACATGATCAGATATGTGCTTTAGGACCACTGATATGTCAGCTGTACGAAAAATGTTTAGGGAGATTTGAGGCAGGAAGATATTACAACAATCCAAGAAAGATACTATTATCCTCATTTATCCCTTACAGTTTAACATGCTTCAGTGAGTCTTGACAGAATTTCTTCTGTATATTCATTCTTTTGGTCTGATCTACATTGCTCACTGCTTCAGCTTGCCAATTATCCATCCTCTATCACACGTTACCCCAGGAAAATAACTGAAATGAAGGTTAGTTGTGACTATGACACAAAACCTCCTCCTCTCTGAAACAGCCCAGGATAAATGGGGGACAAGAGAGCATATTCTTTGTGGAATCCTAGGATTTCTGAATTAGAAGTATAGCAAGATGGAGTGCTACATGAGGAGAAGGCTCAGGGAGGCAGAATAGATATTTCTAGCCTCTTCTCCCCAAACCTTCTCCAAGGGAGACTTTCATTTCTGTCCAGAGGAAAAGTAGAAAGTTGAGGCTGGAAGTCTGCTCTCCTCAGAGAGAGAGAGGCTAGAAGTGTGTCTATCTGCTCCCTTAAATATTGTTCATGTAGGGGATATGATTGGATTTGATCTAACTTCTTATTGCTTTGTAATTTTAGGGAAGAAGGAGGACTGCAATCTTTATAACCAAGGCTTTTCACCTTGCCCACTTAATACCAGTTCCACAATGAACACACATAGAGAACAGCAAAGAAACTCATTTATTCAAATCATATCAAAGCAGAAATCAGGGGGGCAGAGCCAAGATGGTGGAGTAGAGGCACAACTCAGTTGAACTCCCAGCATTCTCCTCCAAACAACTTTAAAATAATGCCTCAAATCTAATTCTGGAGTGGCAGAGCCAATAAAAGGTCAGGGTTAGGCATTTTCTCAGCCCCAAACAACTTAAGAGGTCATCAGGAGAGGTCTGTGAAACTGGGAGGGGGGTCAACTGGGAGTACAGCACAAGTTGCAGTAACACCAGTGCTGGCCCTTGAAGGTGATTGCAATAGTGGCAATAGCAGTTTCAGGAGCTCTCAGTCCAAAGATAAATGCTAAAGGGCATCAGATAATTGGACGGAAAGAAATTACAAAGGACTCTTTGCTGGCACTAGGTGCAGAAACCTTTTGCATTGCCTATGTACAGTTCTGGGCCACAATTCCAGGGCCAAGGGTAGCATTAGTGATTGTAGCTTCAGGGGATCAGAAGCCCTGGTCACAGTTCTAGGGTGGAGAAGAGGATTTGTGGTCACTAACAAGGAAGCAAGAGCCCTGGTCTCAGTTCAAAGGCAGAAAGGAACACTAGTGCTAGGGGCTGCAAAGGACCAGGGGCTCTGGACAAAGTTCCAGCACCAGGAGGAATACTAACACTTATGGCTGCAGGGGAACCTGGCACAAGCCAGGACGGCAGTAACCACACCTGTCCATAGATCATATCACCTTGGAAGCACCAAAAACAGACCCCCAGAACTGGCTCTGAAAATATCAGCGTGCACACACACACACACCACACACACACACACACACACACACACCACACGCATACACACACACACAAACAAACAAAAAACCCCTGAAGCTTCGGACAGTGCCCCTTACATCCTGGGAACAGAGTCCAACTTTAACATAATATTAAGAAATAGGTTGGAAAAATGACCAGACAACAATAACCAAAAAAAGAACCTGACCATAAAAAGTTACTATGGTGACAGAAAATTATCTCATGTAAAAGAGGTGCACAAGGAAGATCTTTTACAGTGGAGGAGAAAATGGAGGAGGGTGGCAGAAAATGCTTGAACCTCACTCTCATTGGACTTGGTTCAAAGAGGAAATAACATATACTCTCAGTTGGGTATAGAGATCTATCTTACCTAACAGAGAAGTAGGAAGAGATGAGAGTAAGGGAAAGGGATGGGAGGAGAACTGACAGAAGAGAGGACAGATTAAGGGAGGCAGCAGTCAGAAACAAAACAGGCTTTTGAGGAGAGACAGGGGAGAGAGAGAGAGAGAGAGAGAGAGAGGGAGAGAGAGAGAGAGAGAGAGAGAGAGAGAGAGAGAGAGAGAGAGAGAGAGAGAGAGAGAAATAAACAAGAAAAATAGCATGGAGAACAGATTAAAACACAACTTTTTCATTTTATTTTTCTTGCTTTTCTTGCAACGTGGCTAATATGGAAATTTTTGCATAATTTCATACATATGATTGATATCACATTTCTTTCCTTCTCAATGGGTGCTACAGGGATAGGAGGGAGAGAGAGAATTCAGAACTCAAATTTTTTTTAAATGAATGTCAAAATAAGTAAATAATACATTTAAAGTAAAAAAAATATTAAGAGAATTCACTGGGGTAGCCAGGTGGTTCAGTGGATAGAGCTCCAGCCTTGGAGTCAGGAGGACCTGGGTTCAAATCTGGCCTCAGACACTTCACACTTACTAGCTGCGTGACTGTGGGCAATTCACTTAACCCCAATTGCCTCACCAAAAAGGAAAAGAGAGAAAGAGAGAGAGAGAGAAAGAGAGAGAGAGAGAAGAGAGAGGAGAGAGAGAGAGAGAGAGAGAGAGAGAGAGAGAGAGAGAGAATTCACTTCCTGGCAAAAAACAAACAGAAATTAGAGA